AGTTTGGAAGAAATGATACCAGATATGTTTAAGAGAAAGAAATGACAGGATTTAGTAAGTGCCTGGATATGAGAGTTGAGGGTAAATCCCATGATTCTGGTTTGGGTGCCTGAGAAAAGGGAGACACCCAAGACTGAAATAACACAGGGAGAGAGAACGATAGGATGGAAATGATGTTACCAACAGCATGCCCCTGGGATACTCATGTGGAGAAGCTCCATTGGCAGAAGTACATATGGGGTACCTAAGAGAAATGTGGGCTATAGCTGGATTTAAGAGCCATTAGCAAATAGGAGATGATAGATAAAACTGCCAGGGAAGAATGAGTAAAACAAACAGAAAGTTGGGTAGCAAATCCTAATGATGAAGAGGAAAGCAAGAGAGGAGATAATGAAGTATAGAAAGACTGAGCTAGATGTGGCAAAACCAAAAGAATATAGATTATATAAGCTAAAAGAAAAATGCAATCAACTAAGTGAAGAACAAAAAGTGTCCCTTGGAGCTGGCAGCAGGGTCACTGGAATCTTAGTGACTGCAGTTTCTGGTGAATGATACCAAAAGTAAAAGCTACCATGACCAAATAAAAATTCTTCACCTTGAAACTACGAATCTAGAAAATATGATGAAACAAGTAATTCTCTGTCCTGTCCATTCACTGACACTTGGCATCTTGCCTCATGTATTTCATGGTGGCTCCTGCTGGCACCCAACCGCAGTTAACTTGTGACTGGGATATGATACAACATCAACAATGTGGACTACACTGAGTAACTCCCAGAAAAACTCATTGGCCCCCCAAATGGTCCTGGTTCATTCATTGCACTTCTAGAAGCCAGCGGTTATTACAGAAGGGAGGAGCTGTAACTACTCCCCCTTTCCTGTACCTATTCCTGTTCCATGTCACAGCTGATCTCTATTCTGAGATTCTCAGATGCCTGCTTTCTACTCTCTGATGCAAACTAACCCTAAAGCTAGGATCTCTTCGGAGGAGAAACAGCTTGTTTGTGGCAATTTCTTGCTAAGATCATTAAACCAAAACAGAAGCTAGGAAAAACAGCACGGTATGGGCTGGAAAAAGGAGATCTCATCCATAGCATAAGCATGCTCTCTGCAACTCCTTCCACATATTGTCATTTCTTTTGTGTCATATTTCTAACTTCTCATCTAGCTACTCATCCAGAATAGCTTAAATCTATAGTATTTCTGCACTTAATTTTTGGTGGACTGGGTAAATGATTACATCTGAAGAATTTCAACTGTTATAAACACTGAGTGTGTAAATACCCAAACAGCTCACAGTGATGTCTATAGTGACTCAGGTGAACAAAAATAGTCTTTTTATTGAAATCAGTTTCAGGTTTCAACTGCACTAATAAGGAAAATACAAAATTAGAGAATAAATATTTTAAGAGAGGCACAGAGAGATCTGCATTTAAATCTGTGGCTCCCACTGAGATTTATGCTCTCATGAGTCACACGATGAAAACACTACAAGAGCTCTGCTTACTTGACAAGCTTACGGCTGACATGTTACTCCAGTAGGCTGTGCAGGGGGAATAAGATGATGAAGAAATCATTTACTACTCTCTTGAAAATGCACAAATGATGTCTGTCTTTTGTCATTCTTTGTTGATGATATGCATTCATCACTATCATTTTTTCTGTGCTAATAAACCCAATTAGGCTTGAAGCAGCAAAAATGAGTATCTATGTACAATTAAACACGGTTTCAACAAAAGTAGGATTTTGTGTAAAAGGACAATTTTTTAAAGAGTTTTTTGTTTTTATAAAGCAAATATGTATTTATCACAGAACACTTAGAAAATGCACAAAAAGAAGAAAATACAAATCATCTATAATCCTACCTCCTCGCCCCTGGGTATAGCCACTGTTAAATAATGCACGTTTTTAAAAGAAAAAATATTACTCAGAAGTAATGAAAAAAAGTCAATTTAGCTTAAAGCTTAAAGTGAAATAAAGCTCACAAGGCTGTAGGCATGAAAAATCTTAACCGAAATGAACACTCACTGTCCCATCATTAGCACCTCCTGTTAGATACACCATCCTTGCCTCAACTCTAGTGTTATTTTGAAAAATTTCCAATCTATAGAAAAGTTAAAATTAATGCCCAAATCACCTCGACTCAGCAACTGTTAACATTTGGTCACATCTGCTTTATCTCTGTCTGTATACACACACACACATATTTTCTTTCTTGTTGGTTGTTAAGCACTTGAAAGCAAATGCAGGTATCATGACATGTCACCTCTGAATTACTTCAACATGTACTTCCTAAGAACAAGGATATTCTAAGGGAAAGTAATCATTTTTGTGGGTAAATCAAAATTTATAATTCTATCTAGAAGACTGACCAAGATAGTGGGCCAGACTCTGTAACACTGTGATTAGCCTGAAGTATTAAGCTTATTTTCTTCCTCTTTGCCCCACATTGTGACTCCTACCTCTTAAATAGTTTCTCAAGCTCACCACCATCGACATTTTGAGCCAGATAATTGTTGTGGGGGCTTCTGTGTGTGTTGTAGGGTGTTCAGTAGCATCACTGGCCTCTAGATCCCAGTACCACTCCACACCCAGCTGTAACAACTGAATGTATCTCTGGACATTGCTAAACACCCCTCACAGGCACATGGACCCAACTGCAGAAACTCTACTCTCCAAGAACGGATCCTGAAAATCCAGATGAGTAGCAGCAGGAATAAGGACAGTATGCATTTATTTACTGAATGCTTACCATGCATGTGGCAGCATGTTCTAAGCATTCTGCATGTACGAAAATCATTTAGTCCCTAAAATAAGCCTCTCAACTGGGTCACACAGCTCCACCACCTTACAGATGAGAGAATGGGCGTGGTGAGACTGAATGGTTTGCACAAGGGCCACCCAGACTCCGAGGGGCAGCGCAGGGTTTCCAAATCTCCCGTGCTGCAGGGACAGCTGCCCACTCAGGCACTTGGCCACAGGTGTGCCCTCACATACCTGCTCCCTGGTGCATCATTTTTCTCTTTCCTACTCATGCCAATCCTCCTAAGTCTTTTCAACTCCATGTCAGGCTTCAGACCTCTCTGGATACCACCTCACACAATGCTAGTGTTCCTGGACTCCTCAGAATAACATGACTCTCCCTTTGGGAAGAGTTCTAGGAACCACAGAGAGCCTGAGGTTCTGCCCATGCTCGTTCTGAGTAGAAAGTCTCATCGATGACTTGCTTCAATCCTCAAGGAGCTTAGTTAACATAGGAAAATCACTTATAACCATGCCTGGCACACAGGAAGTTAGGTCAAGTATCAGTGTTAGCTCCTCTCATCTCTCTAGGATATAAGCTGCTTTAAGGGCAGGGATCCTCATACTGTGTCCTCACACAGCCCCAGTGCTTGACACATACTGATTTCTCAAATATTTCCTGAATAAATGAATAAATAAACCAAAGAATGGCTTCTTTCTAAAGCTGAGATCCAATACTTAGCCAATACTACTACTTAATTAAAAATAAAAGATACTTTTTATGATGCATATTTCATTTAACAAAGAAAAAAGTTCATATATGAGATTAAAAGGAATACAAGAACACAGGAAAATTGGCATTCCCATATAATGCTGATAATAACTCAAATTATACAAGCTGCTAAACCATCTTCCGGAAAGAAATCACATGCCTTAGAAATGTGTATGAAATTCAAACTAACAACTCATCCTAAGAAAATAACCAGTTACGTATACCAAGGAGGAGTATAAGGATGTTCAGTAGTGTTTTTTTATGTAACACTGAGAAATTGGAAATTTGTTCCAGAATGTTTTGGTTTTGCTTTTATTTAAAATATTTTTAAGCAAGGGTGCCTGGGTGGCTCAGTTGGTCAAGTGGCTGCCTTCGGGTCAGGTCATGATCTCAGGGTCCTGGGATCCAGCCCTACATCAGGCTCCCTCCCCAACGGGGAGTCTGCTTCTCCCTCTCCCTCCACCCCTCCCCCTGCTCGTGTGCTCTCTCTCTCAAATAAATAAAATCTTCAAAAAAAAATGTTTTTAAGCAGAAGTTCGTGTACAGGTGAAATAAAGGAGATCTCTTTCACATCTACAGAATTAACATATATCGTTTCAACCACTTGTACTCAACACTAAAGATCCACAGCATATTATAAGATGTGTTGTATAATGCAACAGAACCACAAAACCAATGGTAGGAAAATGTTTCTTGGTTTGTCAGCAGAGCTGGTCAATGGTCTAGCTTCCATGTTTTAGCTCAGCTTTGACAGTGCAGAATGAACTCTACAGCTGACCTAAAGTGACTCCCAAAGATGCTTGGGAAACTGACCCCTATTGTGGCTCCAAAGCCCTGACATGAGGAATGTACTCAGACTAGACTGAACCAGCCTAGCAAGGCCAAGGTAGATGAATGAGTAATCTATTTATGTCCAATTGTGCAATACTCTGCAACCATGCTGAGGCTTAGCTGCAGGCTGATGCGGGCACTTGGCAGGTATATGAGGGGATCTCTAGGACACATGCACTTAAGACTAGACCTAGATGGACCTAGAAGCTGACAGTTGTGTTTTCAGACAGGTTCTACAACCTTGAGAGGTTGTATTCATCTTGGAAATGTGGCCAATCTCTTTGTAATTATCCTGCCTAGCCTCTCTCTACCTGCCCCCACCATCTTTCAGTAATTAAACGACTTGATTTATTCAAATGGTATGTGTGTCTCATGTTTCCATCAATCCATACCTATTATCCTTTGTCCCTAAAACAGCCATGCAGTTCTCTTCTCCACTAACTAAAACACACAATGTCTGCAGAGTGTGGTTCATACTGGGCTCTGTGAAGGTATGGTGCAAAGTGCTACATTTCAGTGCACAGAGTTGGTAGCCCCATCCACTGCTCTAAAGAGCTGTCCTGGAACAAAATATCAAGCACCTGCCCCTGCGAGCATATACCCAGGCCTGTGAAGGACCACACTGGTAAGATAGCCTTTCCATTACACCCCATACCTCAGGCAGGATGAACTGTTCCACAGGCTTGTACCACAGCTTGTTCACCTGCACACCACAGCTCGGAGGACTAAAGCGAGCCACAAAGAGGGCCTCCTACAAATGGGAGGGAGGGGACAAGAAATAGGAAAAAGAAAAAAAAAGAGAAAGAGAAAGATTTTACGTCAGACACTGAGTATGCAGCAAGTTTTCAAATATTTTCTATCTTGGTCAGCTTAATCCTCAATGGCCCCAACCATGGTTAATATGGGTATACTGATGTTTAGACATCATTTGTGTTTTCCAGTGCAATCATGGTTATTAAATAGATATTTAAGATAACAAAAGCTGTCCTGAAGTTCTAGAACACAAAATAAAATCTGCATAATCTTAAAAAAAGCCCACTTTGAAATGAGGAGCATTAGGGGAGGTGTGAGGTGTTATATCAAGCCGACTTACTAGGTTTAACCCCAAGGGTTAAGAATAAACTGAAAGATCACGTATTTCTATACAGAACAAAGGTACTCCAGGAGCCCCCCCGTTTCCAAAGTAACCTTTAGGAAAAAAAAAGACAGAAACAAAAAAGGGAAACATAAAAGAGGGCTGATTCCTATTATGTCTAGAGGCACACCTCATTAACTGCACTTGGCTTTACTGTGCTTGGCAGAGTATTGTGTTTTCACAAATGGAGGGTTTGTGGCAATCCGGCAATGAACAAGTCCAGAGGCACCATTTTTCCAACAGTATTGTTTCACTTCATGTTTCTATGTCACATTTTGGTAATCCTTGTAATATTTCACATTTTTTCATCATTACTTTTTTGTTGTGGTGATTTGTGATGCTACTCTAATTGTGGGGGTACCACAAACTGCTCTCAAATAAGATGGCAAACTTAATTGATAAACCCACTGACCCAGGCTTCCTCATTCCTCTCCCCGCCCCCTCCCAGGCCTCCCCTATTTCCTGAGACACAGTATTGAAATTCAACCACTTAATACCCCTACAATGGATTCTGTGTGTTCAAGTGAAGGGAAGAGTCGCCTGTCTCTTACTCTAAATCAAAAGCTAGCATGATAAAGCTTAGTGAGGCAAGTAAGGCAAGTTAAAAGCAGAGACAGGCTGAAAGCTGGGCCTCTCGTGCCTTTTTGTGAATGCAAAGGAACAGTTCTCGTGAGAAACTCAAAGCGCCTCTCCAATGAACACATGAATAATAAGAAAGTGGCACTGTTGGTGGGAATGTGAACTGGTGCAGCCACTCTAGAAAACTGTGTGGAGGTTCCTCAAAGAGTTAAAAATAGATCTGCCCTACGACCCAGCAATTGTACTGCTGGGGATTTACCCCAAAGATACAGATGTAATGAAACGCCGGGACACCTGCACCCCGATGTTTATAGCAGCAATGTCCACAATAGCCAAACTGTGGAAGGAGCCTCAGTGTCCATCGACAGATGATGGATAAAGAAAATGTGGTCTAGGGATCCCTGGGTGGCGCAGCGGTTTGGCGCCTGCCTTTGGCCCAGGGCGCGATCCTGGAGACCCGGGATCGAATCCCACATCGGGCTTACGGTACATGGAGCCTGCTTCTCCCTCTGCCTGTGTCTCTGCCTCCCTCTCTCTCTCTCTGTGACTATCATAAAAAAAAAAAAAATGTGGTCTATGTATACAATGGAGTGGATGGAACTGGAGGGTATTATGCTGAGTGAAGTCAGTCAGTTGGAGAAGGACAAACATTATATGGTCTCATTCATTTGGGGAATATTAAGAATAGGCAAAGGGAATAAAGGGGAAAGGAGAGAAAATGAGTGAAAATATCGGTGAGGGTGACAGAATATGAGACTCCTAACTCTGGGAAATGAACAAAGGGAGGTGGGCGGGGGTTGGGGTGACTGGGTGATGGGCACTGAAGGGGGCACTTGGCGGGATGAGCACTGGGTATTTTGCTATATGTTGGCAAACTGAACACCAATTAAAAAAAAAAAAAGAAAGAAAGTGAAACGGCCTTCTTGAATATGGAGGAAGTCTTAGTGGTCTGGATGGAAAATCAAACCAGCCACAACATTCCCCTAAGTCAAAGCCTAATCCACAGCAAGGCTCTCACTTCAATTCTGTGGAGGCTGAGAGAAGGGAGGAAGCTGCAGAAGAAAAGTTGGAACCTAGCAGAGGTGGGTTCACAAGGTGTAAGGAAAAAGGCCATCTCCGTAACATCAAAGTGCCAGGTAAAGCAGCAGATGCTTATGTAAAGCAGCAGCAAGCTCTCCAGGGTACCCTCCTAAGCTAATTCAGGAAGGTAGCTACACTGAACAACAGATTATCAGTGTAGATAAAGTAGCCTTATGTCAGAAGAAGATGCCATCTAGGACTTCCCTAGCTAGAGAGAAGTCAATACCTGGCTTCAAAGCTTCAAAGGACCAGAATGGCTCTCTTGTTAGGGGTTAATGCAGCTGATGATTTTAGGTTGAAGCCAATGCTCATTTACCATTCTGCAAATCCTAGGGCCCCCAAGAATTATGATAAATCTACTCTGCCTATGCTCTATACATAGAACTACAAAGTCTGGATGACAGCACATCTGTTTATATATGGTTTACTGAGTAATTTAAACCCAGTGCTGAGACTACTACTCAAAAAAAAAAATTCTTTAAAAATATTACTGCTCATTGATAATACACCCGGTCACACAAGAGCCTGACAGAGATGTACCAGACTAACGTTTTCATGCCTGCTAACATAGCAACCATTCTGTAGCCCACAGATCAAGGAGTAATTTTGACTTTCAAGTCTTATTTAAGAAATACATTTTATAAGACTGTCATAGACTCCTCTGATGGATCTGGGCAAAGTAAACTAAAAACCTTCTGGAAAGGATTCACCATTCTAGGTGCTGTTAAGAACATTTGTGATTCATGGAAAGAGTTAAAATATCAACATTAACAGGAATTTGGAAGAAGTTGATTCCAACCCTCATGGCAGATTCTGACAGGTTTAAGTCACTGTAGATGTGGTGGAAATGGCAAAAAAAAAAAACAAAACTAGAATTAGAATCTGAGGATGAGACTGAATGGCTGCAATCTCATGATCAAACTTTAATGGATGAGGAGTTGCTTCTTATGGATGAGTAAGCAAAATGGTTTCTGGAGATGGAATCTACTCCAGGTGAAGATGCTGTGAAATTGCTGAAATAAAAAAAGATTTAGAATATTACATAAATGTAGTTGATAAAGCAGTGGCAGGGTTTGAAAAGACTGACTCTAATTCTGAAAGAAGTTCTACTTTGGTTAAAATGCAATCAAATAGCATCATATGCTACAGAGAAATTGTTTGTGAAAGGAAGAGTCAGTCAGTGAGGCAAACTTCACTGTTGTCTTATTTTAAGAAATGGCTCCAGCTACCCCAGCTTTCAGCAGCTGCCACCCTGGTCAGTCAGCAGCCATTGACATCTAGGCAAGGCTCTCCACCAGCAAAAAAAAAACAACAACAACAAAAAAAAAATGACTCACTGAAAGCTCAGATGATAGTTAGCATTTTTTAGTAATAAAGTATTTTTAAATTAAGGTATGTACATTGTTTTTTCGACATTTGCATGCTTAATACTATTAATACTATGGCATGTATAATAAATGACAGCATAAGTATAAACGTAACTGTCAAATGCACTGAGAAACCAGAAAGTTCACTTGACTTGCTTTCCTGTGACATTTGCTTTATTGCAGTGGTCTGAAAGTAAACCCACGGTATCTCCGAGGTACACCTACACTGTTTTCTTTGAGTCCTTCCCAGTTTGTTTTGGCAAGAACATTTCCTACTTCTCATGCCTACTCTTATATGCCAACTTACTACAGGAGAAACTTCTGTTAAAGCAATGAAGATAACATAGAGGTTTAGGATTAAGGGGGTTTTAGTGGATTATGTGTATTTCTTTCATTAACAGCAGTTCTTGGCCATATAGTAGTAATACCTTTTGCATTGTGAACCTAATGGCATCGACCTTAGACTGGCCTTCCTTGCAGACAAAGATTAACTTCCTCACTAAAAATATGGCAACTAAAAGATAAATTAACATGATCAAAATATTGTCTGTGCCAAACTTCTTCATTGATAACTCAAACATGCATAGTTGAAAAAAAAAGACTACATATACTATAACAGTTAAATGGATCAAAAAGATTCAAGAGTAATCCTAATTTCTAGATGAGAACAGTGGAACTCAGAGTACTGCTATTTTAGTTACCTATTTGAGCTTCGGTGTCAAAACCTTTAACCATAATACATAAACTCCAGTACTTGAGTCTTTTGATAAACTCTCTCAAATGTAATCATAATAGCTGGAATCACTACTAGAATCTGTCCTTCCTGCCTAATTCATGTCATTAAGCACAGTCACAGACTTTTTTTTTTTTTTTTTTAAGATATATCCATTTCTTCATGAGAGACACAGAGAGAGAGAGGCAGAGACACAGGCAGAAGGAAAAGCAGGCTCCCTGAGGGAGCCCAATGCAGGACTCGATCCCAGATTCTGGGATCATGCCCTGAGTTGAAGGCAGATGCTCAACCATAGTCTTAAATTGGTTTGCTTATTTACTAGTTACTCTCTAACACTGTTACTAACACCATTCGCAATGATATAAAAATATTTTTCATGATGTCTAAAAAAACTGACTTCTTTTATAGACAACAATTATTCTGCAGGTAGCAATTATGAACTTTGAACAAAACAGAAAAAAAATGATTTGAAGACACCGGAATGTGAATAAACAGGCCAAAACTGGAGGAAAAACCAATACCAGGAAGAAGAAAAAGTTGCTGTGCTTTCCCCCCCGTTTTTTAAATTGAAAGAACAACCTGAGCGGGCAACTAGAAATTTTAATTAACAACTGTCATCATTCTAGTTGAAAAAAATAAAAATCAAAAGACAGAGTTGGGGCAAACACATCCACTAAACAATGAAGAAAATCCCCAAAAAGGACAGGGTCAGAGAGAGGAGGTCCTACATTCTTTACATCAATTCTGCCCAAATCAGGCTGACAAAATCTACATCCAAAGCAGAATTCGAGTAGCCCATCAAAGTTCCAAAGAGCTGAACAGAGATTTCAACTGCTGCCCACTGCGACAGCAGCGTCTAAAGTCTCTGTTAGCCAGGGGCACTGGGGGGGCTCAGTCAGTTAAGTGTCCAACTCTTGACTTTGGCTCAGGTCATGATCTCAGGGTGGTGAGATTGAGCCCTGAGTCAGGCTCCACACTTAGCGGGGGAGTCTGCCTGCAATTCCTTCTCCTTCTCCCCGCCTTCCCCCACCCCCTGCTCATGGGTACGCTCCCTCGCTCTCTCTCTCTCTCTCTCTCTCTCTCTCTCTGTTAGCCAATTTAACTGCCTGCTAAAACAAAACAAAACAAAACAAAAAAATCAAAACTCTTGAAGGAATATAATAGGATCCAGAGATCCTGCAATGAATTATTCACAATATCTAGGATACAATCCAAAATTACTTGATATAAGACAAACCAGGAAAATGTAATCCATACTCAAGAGAAAAGATGATAATCAATTAAGACAGACCTTAACGTGATTCAAATATCAGAATAACAGAGAGGATTTTAAAGCCATTATTGTACCTAAGGTCAAAGCTGTAAAGAAAATATGTTCAAAATAAATGAACACGGGAAATTTTTGAGAAATAAAACTACAAAAGAGAATAAAAGGGACATTCTATAATTAGTACAATACCTAAAGTAGGTATTAGTACAATACCTAAAATGCATTCAGGGAGCCTGAGTGGCTCAGATGGTTAACCATCTGCCTTCAGCTCAGGTCATGATCTCTGGATCCCGGGATTGAGCCCCATGTTGGGCTCCCAGCTTATTAGCAAGGTGTCTGCTTCTCCCTCTGCCCCTGCTCATGCTCTCTGTCTCAAGTGAGTAAATAAAATCTTTTTTAAAAATAGTAAAAAATAAATAAATAAAATGCATTCACTGGTGAGGTTTAATAGCAGATTTGTAGTAGAAGAGTCAGTCAATGCGCATATAGACTGACAGAAATTATTGAATCTGAAAAAACATTCAAAAAAATAGACACAGTCTCATGATCTGTGGAACAAGGGCAAAAGGTCTAACATGCATATAATTGGAATCCCAGAATGAGTGCATAAAATGGGGCTGAGCAAAATTTTTTCAAGAAATAATAGCTGAAAGTTTCCCAAATTTGGTGAAAGACAAATTTACAGATCGAAAAAAGTTGGCAAATCTGAGTAGCACAGACACAAAGAAAAAAACCACAGCAAGATACAACACAATTAAACTACTTAAAACCAAATATAAAAAGAAATTGTTAAAAGCAGCCAGGAGAAACAGACAAAAAACCAATTACATATATCATATATGGGAACAATAATACAAAGGATAGTTGGCTTCTCACCACAAACAATGGAGGCCATAAAATATTGAAATACTGAAAAGAAGTCAACTCAGAATTTCTATATCCAGAAAATATTCCACAAGAAAATGGGGGAGGGGGCAAATAAAGGCAAAACATAAATATTTTCAGAAACATGAAAACTAATCAAATGAATTACCAATAAACTTGCACATTCACAATATTCAGGAAGGAATGAAGAGCACCAGAAATAGTAAATATGTGGGCAAATATAAAGGATGATTTTTTTTCTCTAATTTACTTCAATATACATTTAACTGTTTTAAAGCAGAAGTTGTAACACTGTACTGTTCTTATATTCTACATGAAAGGGTACAACATTAGTTTTAGGAAAAATGACAAGTTTAGGATGTCTACTGTAATCTTTCTGTCAATCATACACAAAAAGAGTAATGCAAAGAGCTGTGGATGAAAGGACAACAGAAAAATTAAATTGAAATTCTAAAAAATACTCAAACCCAAAGAAGGCAGGAAAAGAGGAACAGAGAAACAGAAAATGGTAGAATAGAAAACAAATAGCAAAATGAAAAATGGAAATCCAACCACTTCAATAATTGCATTAAATGTAAATGGATAGGGGATCCCTGGGTGGCTCAGCGGTTTAGCACCTGCCTTTGGGCCAGGGTGTGGTCCTGGAGTCCCGGGATCGAATCCCACTTCGGGCTCCTGGCATGGAGCCTGCTTCTCCCAATGCCTGTATCTCTGCGCCTCTCTCTCTCTCTCTCTCTCTCTCCCCCTTTCTCTCTCTATCATGAATATATAAATTAAAAAATCTTTAAAAAATGTAAATGGATAAACACTCTATAAAAGGTAGAAATTCTCAGACTGAATCAAAAGGAAGACCCAACTATATGCCTGTCCCCAGGAAACACAACTTCCAGATATATATATATAGGATGTGAGGGCGATCTGGCTGCGACATCTGTCACCCCATTGATTGCCAGGGTTGATTCGGCTGATCTGGCTGACTAGGCGGGTGTCCCCTTCCTCCCTCACCGCTCCATGTGCGTCCCTCCCGAAGCTGCGCGCTCGGTCGAAGAGGACGACCATCCCCGATAGAGGAGGACTGTTCTTCGGTCAAGGGTATACAAGTAGCTGCGCTCCCCTGCTAGAACCTCCAAACAAGCTCTCAAGGTCCAGATATATATACACACACACACACACACACACACACATATAATTTTATATATATGTATTATTATATATATATATAAAATAATACACCATGACCAAGAGGAATAGGAGACTGGTTTAACATTTCAAAATCAACAAATGTTATTCATCCCATTAACAGAGTAAGAGCAACCCTGAAAACATTCTATATGCCCAGCAATAGAACAAATAAACATAGTGCTGGAATATGACTTAGCAACTAAAAAAAAAAGAAAGGTGATGGGGCACCTGGCTGGCTCCATTGGCAGAATTGTGAGGTCAAGCCCCATATACGGCACAGAGCTTATGTTTAAAAAAAAAAAAAAAAGTTAACAGAAAAGGGAAAATTCATGAATACATACAAGAACATGGATGCTTTATAAAAACACAGAAATCTTACACAGGAGAGTACTTTATGATTCTATTTACATATGAAATCCCACAACAAGCAAAACTAGTCTACGGTAACAGGAAAAAAAAGGTAAAAAAAAAAAAAGGTGGCTGTCTCTAGGAAGTGTGACGGGGGGGGGATAGGAGCTTGGGTTATGCAGTTTAAACTAAGAGGCAGCTAGCTGGCTTAGTTGGAAGAACAGGTGAATCATGGAGTTTAAGCCTCATGTTGGGTATAGAGATTACTTAGATAAATAAAAACTTAGAAAATAAATACAAAACTGTACATTTTACTGTGCATGAAATTTAAAAAAACAACAAATATTAAAGTCTAATTAATGAAAAAAAAATCTAGCTAATGATATGAATGCTGAAGTGTTTAGGGTCAAAGTGTACTGATACCTGAAACTGACTCTGAAATACAGCCAGGAAAAATAAAAAGATCACTGAACAACTACATATATGATAAAGCAAATATAACAAAATGTTAATTAACTACTATAGAAGTTAGGTGGATATATGGGTGTTCACTGTATAATTCCTCGAAGATTTCTACAAAAAGGATTTGAAAGGATCTTTTCAAATACAATTCCTTCCTAATACACTTCTTCAGATGTACCCTGTGAAGAAATCAGATTTCTGTACATACCAGGAACAGAGTAACCCCAGTTGTTTTAAATGTTCATTCCCTCTACATCCTTATTAGAAAAGAGATTTGAAGCAGCTGTTAGCCTTGTATTATAGTGATAGACTTTCAGGGTTGGAACAAAGAGACAATAAAACTCACACCTTAGAGTCCCAAAGCTCTTACATTCATTATCAACTTTTGTAATTCCTTAGGCTTTAGGGGATGTTAGGTTGGAAATTTCTAATCTGGTCCAATTTCTTCTTTTCTAGATACAACACATTTACCATTCATTGGTATTCTCTTCCCAGACCAGCATATTAATATATTATGTTATAGTGTATCCAATCAGTAAGGGAAGAAAAGTGGAATTCTTCCAACTAGATATAATTATATAGACTTCCAACCTGCTATATGCCATGAGGATAAAGCTAGTATTTTTTAAGAAGAAAAGTGGGGAAAACCTTATACAAAACAGTGCATACCTCCTGTTCTGCCTGATAAAGTTTGACTGTGATGTTTCTCTGGAAACCCACATCATTGGCATCATAAAACACCCCAAGACTGGTGATGACAATTGGGTAGAGAACTCGGAAGCTCACGCTGACAACTTGGTCCTCAGAAATCCCTGATGAAGTGTCTTCAGAAAGACTGAATGCCTCAATCTCCTGGTTCAAAACTAAGGAAATAATCAGAAAAGGAGTTTTACATAACAAATATAATCTTCTAATTATTTCACAAATGGCAGGAATTAAAAACAATTCAGGAATGCGGCTGCTTCTAGGAAAAAAAAATTATTTTGAAATTTAAGAATGAAGTTTTTAGCCACATATAGGTAAAATATTTAATTATCAGAACTACTTTATAAGTTTTTGTATATATACATGTGTGGATATACATCTCTAAATGCCATAGAGGAATATTACCAAAGGCATCTATTAGGAAAGGTTCAATTAACAGGGATATTAAAAAGTAACTAATAAATAAAATCATTTAAAAAAAAAGCAAACAGTACCTAATGCAGTCAAAAATAATGAGAAAATTTAGTCTTGGCTCTGCAAATTCCAATATTCTACTTCTTGTTGGGCAATCTAAGATACTTGTGATGTCACATCACAAAAGTCCTTGAAATCACTTCCAGTAACACTGAAAAACTATATAATACTGATAAGAGAAGCACATCAAACACAGTAGCATTTCTGACCACATACTGTGTGCCATGCCCCATCACATTTACATCTTCACAACTACACTGTGTGGTCATGGCATTATCTGGCATTATGGATTATGATACTGAGGCCTGGAGATGTTAAGTAACTCGCCCAAGGTCATAGAAAGTGGCAGAGCCAGGAATCAACCCCAGGTTTATGCACTTCAAACTGCATGCTTTTTCCCCTTCCCCTCAGCTGTTTAAATCAAACCCAAAAATAGTCTTTTGCAAATAATGTTTTCAATTACCAGAAATGAATCAGGACTGATTACATGAAGCAGTTAACATGGCTGAGAGTATCAGAGCCACTTTATGAAATAATATAAAAACCTATTCTAAAAGATTTTAACGTTCTTTATATCTTTTCAAGCTGTGGTTTTCTAATTTTGCTGCTCACACAACCCCATCAAGCACATTTCTACACACTTTAGTATAGAGTATTTACAAAATATACACATACATTATTGTTACCAAGATATTCAGTCTTTATGAAGATTTCATTGTTTTATTTTCAGATAAACAGAAATTCTGTTTTCTTCCCTCACCCCACTGGATCCTTTGGATCCCTACCTGAAAATTCCTAAAGTGCTATTTTACACTCAGTAGATAGATGCTCAATAAAATGTGCCTAACTGGAACTGATGAGCCTACCCAGTTACCTACATTAGCAGGAGTGGAAAGGAGGATGATAAACATTTTGTGATGGGCTGGGCAAGCACTGCTGGACTCCAAATAAACTGGGTGACATCAAAAGATTTTTTTAATATACTCAGTAAATGTAAAATATTCAAAGTATATGCATGGGTTAAAGGCTAACAGGTTAAGCACACTATAGCCTAACTACGTATCTGTTTAAAACAAATGTACCTTGAACTTCAATAGGTTCAAAATAAATTTAGTTACACCTATTTTAAAAATGTTATAACCTAGGTGTTACATATATGAAAATTTTCTATTAATTAACAACTCCACTCCTTTAGTATTAATGAACAGTAATGCTTAAAATAATAAAAGTCTGGTTAATTTAAGGTGAGGTTTTTAAAAATTTGATCTGGGTTTCAAATGTAATTTGTTTTTTTTTTAAAGATTTATTTATTTATGATAGAGAGAGAGAGAAAGAGAGAGAGAGGCAGAGACACAGGAGGAGGGAGAAGCAGGCTCCATGCTGGGAGCCCGACGTGGGACCCGATCCCGGGACTCCAGGATCACGCCCTGGGCCAAAGGCAGGCGCCAAACCGCTGAGCCACCCAGGGATCCCTTCAAATGTAATTTGTTCAAGCTTATTATTCTTACATAATCAGTAATACAACATTTTATTAGGTTCATGGTCCCTCTGGGACTCCAGTGCAAGCTAACGGACATTCTCCTCAGAGAAACAATAACACATGAAATTTTACTTATAATGTTAGAAGATCATAAGAAACCTCTGCTTTACACAATACAGACCTGAAAATATTGTGCAATTTATTTAAAAAGCTGACTGAATAGGGATCCCTGGGTGGCTCATCCTGTTTTTTCACCTGTCAAACAGGCTCATCCCCTGTTTTTTCATCCTGTCAACCCCTATGGGGTACTTTTTATCCTCAGTTTATAGATGATGAAACAGAAGCATAAAGGAGGTAAATAACTGATCAAAGGTCACACAGCTGGGAAAGTCAGAGCCGAGATTTAAAGCCATGGAAGGCTAACTCCAAGGCCCACACTCTCAATGACAACACTAATGTTGCCTGTAAGAGTGAGGTGTATACAATTAAAAGGGTCTGACAAATCTTAACATACCAGAAGTCATAATCAGCACATTTACGACTTTGAAAAGTTTAGTCTTCCTCAGAACCATAGCCAGAGGGTGGGGGATGGGGGTGAATGGGTGACGGGCACTGAGGGGGGCACTTGATGGGATGAGCACTGGGTGTTATTCTGTATGTTGGCAAATTGAACACCAGTAAAAAATAAATTTATTAAAAAAAAAAAAGAACCATAGCTGAACACAAAATGAAATGCTGGTAAAGGAAGATGGAACTTGATTAGGACCATCTTTCTTTATCATCAGAACTCCCACAAATCTTTAAGGAATACAAAATATTACCCATATTTAAAATCTTTTACTATTTGTTTCTTTCGCAGAAGCTTACAGGCAATAATTCTAAGAGAAAGGTGCCTCACAGTATTCATACCAGGTTTACAATAAATTGACAAGATGGTGAAATCAGCAGTTATCTCAAAGTTCAAAACTCAGTTATTTAGGATTTATCTATATGTAAGCAATCTCCAGATGAATCTGAATCATACTGAAAAGGCAAACTCTCCTAGACCCTGAAATTATATCTATCTATTAAAGACTCCTCACAGATAGCTAGTGATCACTTGATCTGTCAAAAAGGATGAAAGATACATTTTGATAAAAGCTCAATCTGAGTCCACTAAAAACAGATCACCAAGACTAGTCAGTTTAGCAACTTCTCCTCAACATCAAATTTGTACGTAGAGTCACAGGGCTGGTGAAAGAGACGACTCACCTGGATTTGTGATGTTGAGCAGTCTGCAGGAATAAGGATCTTCCCTGTCTTCCACAGGCACTTCACAGCCATGAGCACCTATTATGAACTTCACAAGCACACTGAGAGATGTGTTGGCATTAACATCAGATACTGATTTTCACTTTGCACATGAATGTTTCCTCATGCCCATTTCAAAGCTTTGGAGACTCAAGTGTTCATGAGGATTAATTCTAACTTTATTTTTCTAGTCTGGCAAAAGAGGAACAAGCGAACCAAAAGTTGCCAATCACCAAGTGACTTATGTGTAAGCCCTCTACTGTATATACGTTAAAGTGAGTATGGGGGCACCTGGGTGGCTCAGTGGTCAAGCATCCTGCCTTTGGCTCAGGGTGTGATCCCACAGTCCTGGGACTGAGTCCTGCATCAGACTCCCCATGAGGAGCCTGCTTCTTCCTGGGCCTATGTCTCTGCCTCTCTCTCTCTCTCTGTTATGAATAAATAAATAAAATCTTTTTTTTTTAAATAAAATCTTGAAAAAAAATAAAGTGAGCATGAATATGTTTGGCCTGGCTACCAGCAAATGCTTTTTGTTAAAAGCAAATTACAGTAAAGTCAGTTTCTCATGCCCTGACCTAAAAACATATCTGTATCTGCAATCTTATTTCCTTTCTTCTATTTTATTTTATTTTTTTAAGATTTTATTTATTTATTCATAGACACACAGAGAGAGAGAGGCAGAGACACAGGCAGAGGGAGAAGCAGGCTCCACACAGGGAGCCCAATGTGGGACTCGATCCCGGGTCTCCAGGATCACACCCCACGCTGCAGGGGGTTCCAAACCGCTGCACCACCGAGGCTGCCCTGCTTTCTTCTATTTTAGAAGGTATTCCTTTTACTCCAGATTAGTCTTCCCAAGCAAGAGGAGATGGTCTCCTCTCCTATATCTTACCTGCAACCTGTGGCTCCTTTCCTACACTTTATAAATACGATGAGTCCTGATCCTAATTTTTTTCTTTTTAAAGATTTTTTTTATTTATTCATGAGAAACACAGAAAAGAGAGAGAGAGACACACACACAGGGAGAAGGAGAAGCAGGCTCCATGCAGGGAGCCCAATGTGGGACTTGATCCCGGGTCTCCAGTATCACAGCCTGGACTGAAGGCAGCGCTAAACTGCTGAGCCACCCGGGCTACCCCCTGATCCTAATTTCTATTTACCTACCATCCTCTTTCCTTTACAGTGAAGTCCTACAAAGGAATTAACTAAAATTGCAGGCTGTAGATTCTCATCTCCCACTCATTTTATAAAACAGAGACTTCAGCTTAATACCCACCACTTATACTGAAATGTTTACCACCAATGTAACTACTGATTTGCTGCTAACTCAACGGACTTTTCAAGCCTTCAATTTGTGGTTCGATAGTAGTCTCTTTATGGTGTTCTTTTCCCTCCATTATGTGGGCTGCTCAGTCACCTACCAAGTCTGTCCATTAGGATAGATTTTAAAGCAGGGCTTTGTCCTTGGGCCTCTTCTCACTCTTTTTGCCTGCTCTCCCGACAATATTTATTCTCAAGGCTTCACCTAGCTTGGGAAGGATTCCTGAATTAGCATCTCTAGTTTGGACCCATCTTCTAAGTAAAAGATCCATATATTCATTGAACATCTTTTCCTGGACAGCCCACAGATGACAGTCATGTGCTGGACCCAGCTCCTACTGGCCTGTGAGAGCCAACTGCTAAATTTTCAAGAATTCTGGAGCCTGGTTATTAAGAATAGCCTTTATTAAATTACATAAACATTAAAAACAAAGAAAATATTCAAATTAATCATTTCTCATTTCTCTATTATCTATGCTCTTGAGGTTATGTTTACCTATTACATCTGTGTGGTGAAAATAAAATGGTGTGCTACTGCATATTTTTCCTGAGTCTGTATTCAGAGATATGGTATTCGTTGGTTGAAGTTGGTCATGGAGGGAATACTTCCACCATGGAAACTGGCAAACACTAAAAATAAGGGTTTTATTTATTGTTTTGTTAACCTTAAGTGATGGAGGGAAAAAAAGCAAATGTTGGAGGAAAAGTTAATGCAAATTAAACTTAAAAATGTGATGTGTCTGCATAAATCAATGGAACAGAATAGAGAGCCCAGAGATAAACCCACAATTATATAGTCAATTAATCTATGACAATGGAGGCAAGGATATCCAATGGGAAAAAGATAGTCTCTTCAACAAAGAGTGTTGAGAAACTGGACAGCTACCTGCAAAACAATGAAATGGGACCATGCTCTTACACCATACACAAAAATAAACTCAAAATAGACTAAAGACCTAAATGTGAGACCTAAATCCATAAAACTCCTAGAAGTGAACATAAGCAATAATTTCTCTGACATCAGCTATAGAAACATTTTTCTAGATATGTCTCCTCAGGCAAGGAAAACAGAAGCAAAATTAAACTACTGGGACTACATCAAAATAAAGACCTTCCACACAGCAAAAGAAACTATCAATAAAACTAAAAAGCAACCTACAGAATGGGAGAAGATATTTCCAAAGACATCTGATAAGGATATAATACCCAAAATATATAAAGAACTCAACACCAAAAAATCAAATAATCCAACTAAAAAATGGGCAGAATACATGAATAGACATTTTTCCAAAGAAGACATCCAGATGGCCGACAGACGAAATAGTGTTCAACATCACTCATCATCAGGAAAAACCAAATCAAAACCATAATGAGATAATATCTGTTAGAATGGCTAATATAAAACAGACAAGAAATAACAAGCCTTGGTAAGTATGTGTAGAGAAGGGTACTCTTGTGCACTGTTGGTGGGAATCAAACTGTTGTAACCACTGTGGAAAAGAGTATGAAGGGTCCTCAAAAAATTAAAAATAGAATTAGCATATGATCCAGTAATTCCACTATTGGGTATTTAGCCCCCAAAAATGAAAACACTAATTTAGATATATAAGATAGATAAGTACCTATCTATCTATCACAGCATTGTTTATAGTAGCATTCCATACAGTAGATATGGAAGCAACCCAAGTGTCCATCAATAGATGAAGATGTAGTATGTGTATACAATGGAATTTTTTTTTAATTTTTATTTATTTATGATAGTCACACAGAGAGAGAGAGAGGCAGAGACACAGGCAGAGGGAGAAGCAGGCTCCATGCACCAGGAGCCCGATGTGGTATTCGATCCCGGGTCTTCAGGATCGCGCCCTGGGCCAAAGGCAGGCGCCAAACCGCTGCGCCACCCAGAGATCCCCAATGGAATATTATTCATCCATAAACAATGAACTCTTGCCATTTGCAACAACATGGATGGATCTAGAAAGTATAATGCTAAGGAAAATAAGTCAGAGAAAGACAAATACCACATAATTTCACTTATATGTGGAATTTAAGAAACAAACATGGAGCCCGATGTGGTATTCGATCCCGGGTCTTCAGGATCGCGCCCTGGGCCAAAGGCAGGGGCCAAACCGCTGCGCCACCCAGAGATCCCCAATGGAATATTATTCATCCATAAACAATGAACTCTTGCCATTTGCAACAACATGGATGGATCTAGAAAGTATAATGCTAAGGAAAATAAGTCAGAGAAAGACAAATACCACATAATTTCACTTATATGTGGAATTTAAGAAACAAAACAATAAACAAAGAAAAAAAATGAGATAAACCAAAAAATAGACTCTTAAATATAAAGAAACGGTGGTTGCCAGAGGCGAGGTTTGGGGGGGGAGGGGCAAGTGAAACAGGTAAAGGGGATTAAGAATATACTTATCTTGATGAGCACTGAGTAATATATACAATTGTTGGATCACTATATTGTACACCTGAAACTAACATAACACTGAATGCTAATTATACTTGAATTAAAAATGAATAAATAAAAATTAAAAGAAAAAAGTGATGTGTCTATAGCCATTCCATTGTGAATAGTAGAAAACCTATTACCTAATTCAACAAAGAAGTCACTGACTTTATTGACTAAGTAAAGTTCTGGCACATACCTCAGTAGTCACTTTATTTTTTGAAAGGTTTTATTTATTTGACAGAGAGAAAGAGAGAGAGAGAGAACACTGGGGAGTGGCAGGCAGAGGAAGAGGGAGAGCAGGCTCCCTCCTGAGCAGGGAGCCCAATGGGGACTCAATCCCAGGACCCTGGGATCATGATCTGAGCTTGAAGGCAGCCACTCAACCCAGGCATCCTCAGTTGTCACTTTAGTTTAACTCTTTAACTTAAAGGAAACATTTATGTCCCAACTGTACTCTTTTGTCAATTGTATCTATCTAATAGATACTTGTGAAATTGAGATCTCATTTCTTTTACTACAAAGGCTTTTAATTAAAAATGGTCCTAGAAAAAAAAAAAATGGTCCTAGAAATATATATGGATACAATGGAATACCAGATTTGAAAGTAAATCACAGCCACAGAAATGCAAACACTTTATTAATGGCCAATTAAAGCAGAATACCATTCATAAGCAACTAGCATTTAGAATAAAAGTATAAACAGAAATGAATAAGTCTGCTAATTAAATTATTGCAGATATTTACCAAATTAGTTTTTTTTTAATTCTTCTTAAATACTCTTACTAGATCCATAAAATTACTCTGACCTAGGAAGAAGTTTTTGAGTAATATCTATTGCTATACAAATACACCATCATTTTTACAAAACAAATCACCAAGCTCACTAAATTTAAAGCAGGAATGCTATGATGGCAAATAAATTACTGGTGACTATCTGAATGTTAATTTTCCTCATTACGTTTAGTTCTGAGTTATTCCCTCAATAGTCACTGAGTGCCTTACCCTGGGTGGCTCAGTCAGTTGAGCATTCAACTCTTGATTTTGGTTCAGGTCATGATCTCAGGGTCATGGGATTAAGCCTGGTGTTGGGCTCCACACTGGGCTTGGAGCCTGCTTAAGATTCTCTTTTCCTCAGCCCCTCTCCCCAGCTCATGCATGCTCTCTCAAAATAAAATCTTTAAAAAAAGTTAAAGTCCCTATGCTCATGAAATTATACTCTAGTGGGAAAAGAAAACAACTTATAAATATGAAGCCACCAAATATAAAAAACATGCTAATTGGTGGTAAGTAGTATAAAGAAAAATAAAGGCAAACAGGGAAGATAGAGAGGGAAAAGGGGTTATGTGCTATTTAATATGGGGCTGCTTCCTGCTAAGGTGACATCTAAACAGAGACCTGAAAAATGTGAGACTGTGAACCATGAGGATATCCAGTGGAAGAGTGATAAAGACAGGGGAGACAGTAAGTACAAAGGCCCTGAGGCAGAAGCGCATTTAGTGTAGCACAGTGATGGTTGCCCATGTAGGGGAAACAGATGTAGCTAAGGTATAAGACCATAGTAAAGACTTGGTATTTCACTCTGAGCAAAAGAGAGGTCAATGGAAAGGTATGAGCAGAAAATTGACAAAATTTGAGTAATTTTATTTTCAAAAAAAAATTTATTTATTTATTCACGAGAGACACACAGAGAGAGGCAGAGACATAGGCAGAGGGAGAAGCAGGCTTCCCGCAGGGAGCCCAATGTGGGACTTGATCCCGGAACTCCAGGATCACGCTCTGAGCTAAAGGCAGACATTTAACCACTGAGCTACCCAGGCGCCCCAAATTAGAGTGATTTTTAAAAGAAGCACTCTGGCTGCTATATGGAAAATAGAATACAGAGAAACAAAGGTAGAAGCAGGAAATCCAGAGAGAGGCTTCTGCAAGAATCAAGGTGAGAGGTAATGTGGCCTAATGGGGAGAGGGTGGTGGTTTTGATAGTAGTGGTAAAGGTGGTGAGTGGCTAGATTCTGGATATAATACAAAGGTAGCACCAAGAAAATATGCTGATTGGTTGGATGTGGCATGTGGGAGAAAGAAGAAATCAAGATAACAATGTATTATAATTCTTTAAAACTTCCTATTTTACTGATACCTTAACATCCTCACAAACAGCCTACGAGCGTCCTCTCCAGGTGACCTGATATGCTAGTGATAAGGCTGGTCCTTGCCACAATTCCCCCTCTTGCCTTCTCCTGACTGACCTAGTGACATTCTAACACAACAATGAAATCCTCACACATCTTTTGCTTATATAGTCCACCATGACCCCCCAGTAAAGGCACATGCCAATGGCGCCCCACCTGCTTGGTTGGGACTGCTTCCTGGCCGCTCCTCCTGTCTGGCCGCTCCCTGTGTGGCATACCATTCCTCCCTTTCTAGGACTTGTGAGTATAATCAATCTAATTTCATAGGCCTCTCCCAGTGTAACTTCTGTGGCCATGCTGGAGTGACCCTTAGGGACCCAAAAGGGGGATTACTCCCTCATAACATAGCCACCAGGGTTTTCTGTCTGAGCAACTGGTAGAAAGGGGTCATTATTATCTGAGACAGGAAAGACTACCTAGGAAGTGCAGGTTTTGGAGGAGGTTCTGATAGTAGTGATGAGTCTGAGGCCTTTCATTTGCTGGTAATAGGTACTATTATCGAGATCATGAACTAAAGAAATTTTGAAAAGGAAAGAAAGCCGCTATGAATAAGATAGGAAATCTATCACTACTGATGACAAGAAAATTCTGCAACTGTATAGCTACTCACTTCCAAATGTGCCAGTTAATGTAATCCTGAGAGGGCCTTCTAGAATTGCTCATCATCTGAGTATCTATCTTCACATAACTAAAAGTTCAACCTCCCATGCTTCTCTTCCACTAGCCCCTCACTATATAATCTTTAGAGGCTGGTCTCACTGAGAAGACTAAGGCCTTGGGCTCCTAACCAATCAACATGAGATATGCTACCAAGCTCAACCTGGAAGAGCATGGCATATTATACACACTGCAGATTGCACAATTAAAAAGTACTACAGAACAGAAAAAAAGGGCAGCCCCGGTGGTGCAGCGGTTTAGCGCTGCCTGCAGCCTGGAGACCCAGGATCGAGTCCCACATCGGGCTCCCTGCATGGAGCCTGCTTCTCCCTCTGCCTGCGTCTCTGCCTCTCTCTCTCTCTGTGTCTCTCATGAATAAATAAATAAAATCTTAAAAAAAAAAAAAAACAGAAAAAAATAATTCAGTGTCTCTGTAAAGTCAATGAAAAGCTTATTTTGACACAAACATCTCTAAGCAGACAACTATTCTGGAATAGAACATTTTAAGAATTCATATTCTAGGGGCGCCTAGGTGGCTCAGTTGGTTAAGCATCCCACTCTTGACTTTGGCTCAGGTCATGATCTCAGGGTCATAGGACTGAGCCTTGTGCCAGGCTCTGTACTAGGCGTAGAGCCTGCTTAAGATTCTCTCTCCTGGGAGGCCTGGGTGGCTTAGTGGTTGAGTGTCTGCCTTCAGCTCAGGACATAGCCCCAGGATTGAGTCCCACATCAGGCTCCCTGCATGGAAGCCTGCTTCTCCTTCTGCCTATGTCTCTGCCTCTCTCTCTCTCGATATCTCTCTGTGTGTCTCTCATGAATAAATAAAATTTTTTAAATCTTAAAAAAAAAATTCTCTCTCCCTCTCCCTTTGCCCCTCCCCCTGCTCACTCTTGCTCTCTATCTCAAAAAAATTACTATTCTAAATCAAAACAAAAACAAAACAAACCAGGTATCTATAAATACTAATATATTAACCAATGAATATATTCACCTCTAACTATCTTTTGGCTAAGAACCTTGGTTAAATTTACTTTTGTGACTCAACTACATGGAAGGGAAGAAAAATGAGATAGCCATTTCTCCCAGTAAGAAAGGCCACTTACCTAAATTAACATCTCTGTCCCCAAAAAGGTTTTTCAGAACTCTTATTCAATAAATTAGGCAAGGTGCCAACTAAGAAAACCTACCGTTGACTTAATGATGGATGTTGTATTAAATGCTTCAGCCAGGTGCTTCTTATCACATTTCGAAGTTCATGGTTATTGCGAGCTGACAACACACCAACTACCACATCATAGTGACTAGATTTCCAAGGAGGAAATAAGGCCAATTGATCTAGAAATAAGCAACAATAAATTAGAAATGTCATGTCTCAATTACTGTTCTATATGTAACATAAAAATGTTTATTACTAAATAATACATGTTCATGTGTATAGAAAATACAAAGAAATACAAAGGAAAAAATATTTTAAAAATCACCCATAGACGTACCACCTAGATAACTACTACGAACATTTTTGGCATAAAGTCTTTTTGTCTTCCCCACATGTGTATATATTTCTGCTCTACATAAGTACGTGAATTCTTCAAAACTAACAAGATGTTTATGAAGCAAATCAGTTTGAAAAGGCAGTGTGGCATAAATCATGCAATAGTAGGCAGTATGAATCTGTTAGGCCATGAGCAGAATCCTGTTTCTTTTTAAGATAAAAGTTATTTAACTTCTTTTTTTTTTTTAAAGATTTTTTTTTTTAATTTAAGTACTCTCTACCCCCAACATGGAGCTTGAACTCACCACCCTGAGATCAAGAATCTCAAGCTCAGGGGCCTGGGTGGCTCAGCTGGTTGGGCATCTGACTTTGGCTCAGGTCCTGATTCTGGGGTCCTGGGATTGAGCTATGCGTCAGGCTCCCTGCTCAGCGGGGAGTCTGTTTTTCCCTCTAATCCCTGTTTGAGCATGCTCTATCAAATAAATAAATGAAATCTTAAAAAAAAAAAAAAAAAGTCTCATGGCTCTACTGACTGAGCCAGGCAGCCACTCTGAAAAGTTATGTAACTTCTTGAGCCTTAGTTTCCTTAACTACAAATGGGTATAGTAACACTTCTCATACAGTTGTTGTAAAAACTAAAAGAGATAATGTTTATAAAGTTCCTGGTTTGGTAACCAAAATAACAGGCACTCACTGGCAACCAAGAGAAACTATAACCACCACAACAAACATGTGCTTTCAAAGGTGAAGGCCTAAGTTAACGATAGTTAGGGGGCACCTGGGTGGCTCAGTGGGTTGAGCATCTGACTCTTGATTTTGACTCAGGTCATGAGATCAAGCCCCATATCGGGCTCTGTGCTAGGCATGGAGCCTGCTTGGGATTCTCTTCCTCCCTCTCCTTCTGCCCTGCCTCACTGTGGCTCTTGCTCTCTCAAAAAAAAAAAAAAATTAGTAAGTTTGGGAAATAAAGCTGAAAGACTACTATGCTGGAATCCACCAGCACCCTCATTAACACCAATAAATTCTACAGCCAGCAAACCCTGTGTCATTTATTAAATATTCTAAAGAATGAAAGAGGGAGACATTTCCAGGGAAGCCAAACAAAAACAAAAACAAAAACCCACCAAAAATCAAGTGACAAATCACGTGAATGGCTCATTTTTTACTGCCATAAGGGCTAATGGGCAGGACTATATTTAAATAAAAATTGTCCTTAGAAGACAGAAGGGAAAGATACTTTGTTTTTTACCACCAGTTTCAAAGCTGGAGAGCTACAAGCTTATATACAGTTCTGAAGAGGGGCCCATTTCACCTCTTTCTCCAATGATGGGAATGGATCCAAAATGTTTCCAAAAATAACTTAAGGTCAGAGATCTTTACTACATTAAGTGCAATGTTTTTTATATGCCATAGGATCCACATATTCAGCCAAAAGACAACAAAAACATGTTGACATTTTTTCAAAGGGCCAATTAAAATAATAAAATCTGGGAGACAGATTCTTCTAATAAGATACCTAAAGAATATTACACTGTAACAATTCTAGGACTATAGAAATTTTTGCATAGATACCTTATTTTCCAAAACAGACATATTTCTTTAAAAAAAAAAATCTGAACAAGGTAGAGATACTTGTTATTTTAGCCTACCATGAATCCTGTACTAAAATGGATTCTTATTTAAAGGTAGGAATTTATCTTTTATCTTTCTTTTTTTTTTTTAAGATTTACTTTAAAGAGAGAGTGAGCACAAGTAAGATGAGTAGGCAGAGGGAGAGAGAAGGGCAAGCAGACTCCCCGCTGAGCACAGGCTTGATCCCAGAACCAAGAGATCATGACCTGAGCCAAAACCAAGAGGTGACTGCACCACACAGGGGCCCTAGGCAGGAATTTATCTTTAATATAAACCCAAACTTTCCTTGACTAAGCTTGCTTGTAATAGACCATTTATTGCACACCTGTAAAGTACTAAATACTATATACAGAGTATCATTTTAAGGCTTTGCATGTAGAGTATCATTTAATGCTCACAACCCTGAAATGTAGGTGGTGTCAGGCTCCTTGTTAAACAAATAAGGAAAGAGGCACAGAGAATTCAGTAATTTCTGAATTTCCGCCTTTTCCTAAGGCAAACAGCTAGTAAATGGTGCAGCTAAAATTTAATCCTGGGCGATTTAACTCCATTCTTCATCACTGTTCTATTAGGGGCACAGTTTGATATAGCTCATCTGAGACTAAATTCTCTAAATCTTTTATTTGTAACACCAGATCAGGTGGTGAATTAGTGATAAGTAGATCACTAGAAATGCTGGTTAGCATGTTAATTTTTTTATAAATTCATGGCGCAGGAACATTTTTTCTCAGATACACAGAACTGTACAATGAAAGTTGTAGCTACTGATGGAACTAACTCTAAATGAGCCTGAATCTGGAGAATAATTTAAATGCTTATGTAAAATTGGCAAGGATATATCCCATTTCACCCTCTACTTTTTCACAGAGAAATATTAAGTACTTTTAGCAACAAGAATGAGGCAAATGTAGTAACCAGATATTTCTGACATTGATTCCATAGCCAAAGTGCTGCATGATACCAGTAATAAGCTATTTAAATCTCTGTACCTCAGTTTCCTAGTGGAAAAAAAAGTGATACCAAAAAGTCTTCAGATGGTCTATTTCATTCATTTCAAAATGTCTTCTGGAATGATTAAAAGCCAGAGAAGGGCAAAATCACATTTAACCTTAATTAATTCCTCATTTACCTGACATCATCAGGAAACAAAGTTGATGCACAAAAGTAAAATCATAAAATAACTAAAATAATCTGTTAAATGCCAAATATCACTGCCTCATTTTTGATAATCAAAATGAACCTTTGAGAAATGGATTACATGAAATAATTTAACTTGTTCTTGATGACAAAGTCTTCATGAAAAATTTCTCAAATCCCTTTCTCATGATTAATTCTACCCGTTGCTTCAATTTGGACGCTTATCTCTCCCTGGACCATGACAAAGGCATCCTAATGATGAGCACTGAGTAATACATGGAAGTGCTGAATCATTGTATTGTGCACCCGAAACTAATACAACAGTGTATGTTAACTACACTGGAATAATAATAATAAAAAAAAAAGACAATTGGGAAATTTTGAACTAAGTATTGCAAAGAATCATTAATTTTTCTAATCATGATGATGGTTTTTGTGGTTATGGTTTTTTAAAGTCTATCTTTAGAGGTAATGTACTAAGATATTTATGGAAATAATAACTTATCTGTGATTTGCTTCCAAATAATCCAGTGGGAAGAAGTGGGTTGGTGTGTTTGTGAAAAATATGAGCTGAAGGTGTATGATGAATACATAATATTTGTTATAATCTTCTGCTTTTGGGTATGGTTAAAAATTTTCATAATAAAAACTTAAAATACGAAAAAAAAAAAAACCCACCCAAGGCTATCCTAACATTTTATTCCTGGTTTCTTCATATCACTGCCAAACAAGATTTTTCTAAAAATTAAGTATATAATAAAGATGACCATGTGGCATGTGAAAATCCCATGGCTTGTGGTTGCAAACTACTTTTTGATCTCATTCCACTTCTCTCTGCCATTGCCAATCCTCTCTGCTTCTAATCCATGTCTAAGCTGCTTCTGTTGAACTGCTTTATTTTACATGCATTTCTACTTTTCTTGCAGAGGAGAAGTGCATGGCAGATTCTGGCCTTTAAAAAACTTCTCCTTCCAGATATACTGAAAAACAGGTTTCTAAAGACTCAACCAAAAAACTATTAGAAATAATAAATTCAGTAAAGTTGGGGGGATACAAAATCAATCTACAAAAATCAGTGGCACTTCGATACACTAAGAATGAACTATCAAAAAAAAAAGAAGAAAAAAGAAATTCAGTAATCAATCCTATTTACAATTGAATCAAAATGATTAAGACATCTAGGTATAAATTTAACCAAGGAGGCAAAAGATCTGTACACTGGAAGCTGTAAGACATTGAAGAGAGAAACTGAAGAAGACAAAAATAAATGGAATGATATATTCTGTGCTTGTGGGCTGGAAGAATTTTTTAAATGTCCATAGTACCCAAAGCAATCTACAGATTCAATGCAATGCCTATCAAAATTCTAGTGGCATTTTTCTCAGAAATACAGCAAACAATCCTAACATTTGTATGAAACTACAGAAGACCTTAAATAGGCACAGCAATCTCGGGAAAGAACAAAAGAGGAGGGCACCACGCAGCATAAGCTCTTCTATCATCATCGAAGAGGGGATGATTACAGCAATACAGGCCTACCTCAAGAAACAAGAAAAATCTCAAATAATCTAACCTTATACCTAAAGAAGCTAGAGGAAGAACAAAACCCAAAGCCACCAAAAGGAAGAAAATGATAAATATGAAAGCAGAAGTAAATGATAACAATAAATGAAAGACTATGATAACAATAGAATGGATCAATGAAACCAAGAGCTAGTTCTCTCAAAACATCAACAAAATTGATAAATCTTAGCCAGACTCGTCAAAAAAATCATTCACCATGATCAAGTAAGATTTACTCCAGGGTTGCAAGAGTGGTTAAGTATTTGCAAATCAATCAACATGACTGAAAAGATACATGCATTCCTATGTTTGTTGCAGTATTATTTACAGTAGCCAAGATACGGAAGTAGCCCATGTGTCCATCAACAGATAAATGGATAAACATGTGATATATACACAATGGAATATCACAACCATAAAAAAGAATGAGATCTTATCATCTGCAACAGCATAGAGGGACCAAGAGAGTATGATGCCAAGTGAAATAAGTCAGTCAGAGAAAGACAAACACAGTATGATCTTACTTTTACATAGAATCTAAACCAAACAGAACACTGAACTCAAAGAACAGACAGGTGGTTTGCAAAGATGCGGGGTGGCATGTGAAGGGAGTCAAAAGATTCTATGTAAAAGTAAGATTTGTATTTGTCTTTCAAGGAAATGTGGAGAATTACTTCAAGGAAATGGCTCCTCTCCTCCATTACTGCTGGAGTGGAATTTGGTAGTCTTCTGTGGGACAATTTGCCAATATACATGAAATACCTCAAACTGTGTAACTTCTTTTTTTTAAAGTAGGTGCCATGCCCAGCATGGAGCCCAACATGGGGCTTGAACTCATGACCCAGAGATCAAGACCTGAGCGGAGATCAAGGGTTGGCTGCTTAACCGACTAAGCCACCGAGATGCACCAGAACTGCAGAACCTTTATCTAGCAATTCCACGTCTAAGAACTTATTCTGAGAAATAAACAGTGATGTACTAAAACATCTCTATTCATCACAGTGTCACTTATTAATAGTGGAAAACTGCAAAATCTATAAATGCAGAAATAAGGGATTAAATTATGGTTTATCTATATGCTAGAATATTAAGCAGCCATTAAAATGATGTTGTAGAATTACATTATATTGTAATTCACCATATTAAGACCAGCAGACTATAAGAACTATGTACATACTGCATGGTTCCATTTATATAAAGTACAAACAGGCAAATCTCTACCATTTAAGATCAGGATTGTGGTTACCACTCCTGGCAGTGACAGAAGAGAATACGAAGGGAGCTTCTGGGGTGCTGGATTAGTTGAGTGTATACAGTTTGTGAAAATATACCAAGCTACACATTTACGTGCCCTTTTCTGAATATATATTATACATCAACACAGTTTTTTTTAAACATTTATTTATTCATGAGAGACAGAGAGGCAGAGACATAGGCAAAGGGAGAAGCAGATTCCTCACGGGGAGCCCGATGGGGGATTTGATCCTGGAGCCCTGGGATCACACCCTGAGCCAAAGACAGATGCTCAAATGCTGAGCCACCCAGGCGTCCCCATCAATACAGTTTTTAAAAAATACTAAGTAATTTCCCTCAAACAGGCACTTTATGTGCATTCAAAAACCATAATATAGATTTTTCCTGTTTTTAAAAATAATTTCACATTTTTCTACAAAGATTTTATTAGATAAAAATTTAAATTATAAGGTCATCACAGAATGTGAATAGATGATCTGTAGGTGACAAATTCATACTTAGTTTTATTCTTTTGGTTCATTTTTTCAAATTATTAAGCACCTCCTATGTTCACTGTTCTAGATGGTAGATATACAGTAATAAACAAAAAACAAGTCTTCATGTCAGGAATAATTAAAACCCCACACAAGCTCCCTGAGAACAATGGCATTCTCTTCTCAAATACATATTATATCCTGAGGGTCTGGCAACTTGCTAAGCTCTATACTTAGAGCGGACATCCAAAATGTTTTCAAGACCCAGGGAAGCTGACTTCAAAACTGTTCAAAATAGACCCAAGGATTCTTAAAAATCAGGCCAAAAATTCCATTCTCACATGCATACTCTCCAATGGCATCAATCACAGATAAGCAGAAATCTTGGAAATGAGGGAAATATACAAATTCATCACAGATCTACTGATAAGGACAATCATCACATGTACTACTAGCATGCTTTCACCAATCTCAAAAACCTTCCCAAACACCTCACTAGCCTATGCACCAGCCACCACTATCCTACTCCTCCTCTCGAAAATTCATGGAGTGTTTACTATGAATCAGGCACTTTTCTGGGTGTTGAATTAATTGAATCTTCACAACAACCCTAAGAGAACATCATTTTATAAATAAGGAAACTGAAGCATAGAGACAAGATTAACATATAGGGATAATTTTGCATGAATGGCCCTAGGCAAAATTGCAAAGGAAGCTCCATTTGTCTTTGGCCTTCTCCTTGCTCCATGTTTGTTTCAATTTGACAAGTTATAAGGACCTCAGAGCAAGGATTCTGCATCTAGTTCGATACCTAGGACTCTAAGCATTTATTGAATATCGGATATGTTTCATCCCTTTCTCTTTGGTTTCTTTTTCTCCAAATATCCTAGAATGACAGGACTTCTTTGGTCTCATCATTTTGCTAAATTTACTGTTACATAATTCCTAAGGCATTACCCAAAATGAGTATAATATACTAACTATATCCTCTATCTATATTCTCCAGTCCAATGTCCGTCTCCACTCTCCTCATCCACCCCTAGGTGTGCTGGATTTCACAAGAGATCTGCTTCCCCTTCACCAGTTGCTCTCCTGGACCATATTTGGCTGTTTCAAGTGAGCCACTACTTAGAGAAGTATCAGGTGCTGATAGGACTCCCACGCGTCATTCAGTTCCCTGCTCATCAGCACCTCTTTAGAGGGGCCTCCCCTGAACCTCTCTATTTAGAACAGCAGCACAGCATTTTCAATCCTCTTACACTACTTTTTGTCATCCCACCTATCACTGTCCCCTTTGATTTTTAATAATTATTTTCTCTCTTGACTTCCTTTCTAAATTGTAAACTGCAGGTGCTTGGGTGGCTCAGTTGAGTAAGCATCTGCCTTTGGCTCAGGTCATGATTCCAGGGTCCTGGGATTGAGTCCTGCGTCCAGCTTCTTGCTCAGAAGGGAGCCTGCTTCTCCGTCCCTCCCCCTGCTCTCTCTCTCTCTCTTAAATGAATAAATAAAATCTTTAAAACAACAAACTGCAAACCGCATGACAGCAGGGACTTGATCTGGATTACTGCTGTAATTCCATACCTATAGCAAAAGTGGGCAGAGTAGACTCTCAAAGATTTGCTGAATTCATTACAAGTCAGAGGGTCATTCTTAATATTAAGGAAGGTAAATTTCCCTTAAAAAAAAATACTGCTACCACTTAATGAGCCTGGAGACAAAGAAACAGAGAGGAGAACAAACACAAATCTTAAAACATTAATTCAAGAGAAGAATATTCAACCAAATCTTTGGTTTTCTCTCCCACTTTAGGCTGAAGGTATAAGGGTAGAAATGTAAAAGCGCCCAAATGTTTTAGTTTGGACATTGTGGTAACACAATGGGAAAAGGAGCTGCAGGAAATTTTAGCGATCAATATGCTTCTGCTGTTTTTAGTTTTGAAAAGTGAAAGGAGTCTGTTAGGTTTCATTTAGATTAAAATACCTCATTTATCATCCAACCAGATGCACGATATCCATCTGAAGTCAATTTAAGTAACAGAGTACTGATTTCTTCACCCATAGCTGGATCCTCTCCGTGGCCTACTTCCCAGTCCCCTTAATCTAGCTCAGGCCAACCTGAGGGCAGATAGGGGCATTGTCTAAACACTACGAGGACAGGAAAAACTTCACTGAAACTAAGAAATTGCCTATTCAGTTTTAAGCTTCAAGGCAAAGAGGTTTTGCTTGTTTATGGAACCCTAAAAGACTATTAAGGTCATAAATATCCTAAGAATGCTCTGCAAGTAAATTCTAGCAGCACTCACTCACACAAAAGGCAAGAAAGCTGTGAAACACAAACCTAACAGATGTTACAAAGCATTTTACATCTATGGCACTATTTCCTCGGCTCAGTTTACAAAAACCTAAAAAAAAAAAAAAAAAAGCCTCAAATCCTAACCTGTTAGCAGGTTAAATGCTCTGTAACCACTGTTTTTTGTTTTTTTTTGTTTTTTTTTTTCCATTAAATAAGTTAAACGCTTTAAATTCTATTCAGGTCACACAAATAGCCTTTTCAAAGAGCTTGTGGTTTGTCTAATAGGAAAAGATTCTAAGACATTGTTCCCAGTATAAAGGACCCCCATTGCAACAATGAGATTGCTCTGAGAACTGCCCAATTAGTGTCTATGCTTCCTACTTAAAAAGTAAGGCACAGACTCATCTCAGAATCACAAATATTGCAGTCTAATTCTTAAAACTTTTGGTTAAGAAAACAGCTGTTCTGGGGAGTAGTAGTTGGGAAAAAAACTCCCTGAGTAGTTGGAACACAAAATAACTACTACCTCATTTTAAAAACAGCTTCTAGGTTTCTTTATATGTCCTAGGGCAACCATCAAAAAAGAAGACCAGAAAAAAGGGGGAACTCCATTAACAAAAAAACAAAAATGCAGCGGGTGCCTACTACGGACAAAGCATTCTATCCATCAGGCCGGGAAATGAACAAGAACAGAGCTCTCTTTCCCACGAGAGGGCAAGTTTTCCAACAAGTGGGTATGATCGTGAGGAGAATTTCGTGTTTCCACGTCTACCTCGCCAACAGGCTTCGCAAGCCACACTCCCAGGAACAAGTCGGCCCGTGGCCATGCCCTACCTAGTTCGTGTCCCGATTTGTTTGACCGACTTACATCACAGTTCTCAAAGGAAACAAAATGCAGTAAGTTCTCGCGGCCACGTGATCCTCAAAAGCAAAACCCAGCCTTTCTTGCAAGCACGCTCGGGCATGGCCCACGGCACTACGGCCCCCGAGTGCCCCCGAGTGCGGGCGAGGGAGGCCGACCGCCCGCGGAGGGGCGGGCAGGCGGCCGGCGGCAGGGCCCGGCCGGGCGCGCAAGGTCTTGCTCCCGGGGCCGGCGGGCGGGCGCCTCGCAGCGGGCCCGGGGACGGACGACTCGCGGGGCGGGCAGGGCTCGCGTGGCCGTGCAGGAAAGCGGGAGGTGAGAAGCGGCGCCGACGCGAAGCGAGAGGAGCGCCCTCGAGGCTGCCCGCTTCACCGCCCCGAGGATGAGAAGGGCCGTTTGTCTCGCCTGCGGTGGGTCGCATTCGGCCCGCTGCCCCCTCCGGGACTCGGCGGCGGCCTCCCTCCCCTCACGGCCTCCTGGCCCGCGCGGCCCCAGGACCTCACCTGCGGGGCCGGCCCCGGAGGCGCGGGCGGGCGGCGGGGAGCGCAGCCGCAGCCAGAGGTGCAGCGCGGCCCCGAGCACACACGGGCACAGCAACACCAGCCAGTTTCGCATTGGCCGCCCCCGCCGGCTCCACCTCGCGCCCCCGCCACGCGCCGGGCTCTCCCGCGTCCCGGCGGGGAGGGAGGGGACCCGCGGAGAGCAAGGCCGAGGGGCGGCGGCCGACGCACGCGCGACCCCTCCGGGCACGCCTGCCCTCGCCCCCGCCGCCGTCCGGACTGCTCGCGGCTCTCGGCCCCGCGCCTCAGGCTCCTCCAACCGCGGGCGGCGGCGCCTCAGCCGGCCAGGCCCCGCCCCCTCCGCTTGGCCTTCCCCCGGCCCCACCCACCTCCCCCCTCGCCCCGCCCCCTCCTCTCGCGTCCCCTCCCGCGCCCGCAGGCCAGCCGGGAGCTGAAGTCCTGCTCTGGGCCTACGCAGGGAGCGCACCCCGGTGGTCCCGAGGCGCGGAAACCACATTTCCCATAATCGCATGCACTTGCTTTGCGTCACTCGGCGGTCGCGGAGGGGAAGCGCGAAGCCCCACTTGGAGCATGCGCGTCCCTTCCTGACGCCTACATCCTCCCGGGAGCTGAGGGGAGGCGGTGCGGGGCGCCGAGTTGTCGGCGGGCAGCACAACTGCGGGGGGAAGCCGCGGAGGCGGAGGCTGCCCGGGGCCTCGGAGTTAAAGGAGACCTGAGTGACGCCTGTTTTAAGTCACGCAGAGCTCGGTTGTGCGAACGCCCGCCTTCTCTGGGAGGCGGGACCCTGCTGAGGTCTCCTTGGCCCGAAGAGCGGGCCGAGGCCGTGGGAGGCGCGTGTCTTCGGCGGTGAATCACCCCGCGATCATTAGTGCGGGTGCGCTGCGTCCGCGGCTCCAGCCCGGCGCCGAACCCGGGGAGCTCAGGACACGGCCTCACCAGGGGTCTCACCAGAGGTCGAGCTGGGCGGTACGAGCCATGGTCCAGGCGAGGGTAAAATTGCACCTGCCCCGGATCCAGACTCGGGAGAGCAAGACGACACCTCCTCTAGGACGCGGGCTGCGAGCGGCCGGTGGGAAGGATCTGAGCACCGCAGCTCGGAGACCAGGTCCTGCCTGGTGCAGCCGGGCCCCAGGACCAGAGCCCGGTCGAGGCCGAGGTCAAGGGTGCCCCCGCTAAGAAGGAGGAGGGAGGGATGAAAACAAACGCCTGGCGTATGATGGTTTTTCGTTTTTCTTTTTTCTTTTCTTTCTTTTCTTTTTTTTAATTTGCACAAGTTGTGGCAACAGAAAGTAACTGTATTGTTGAGTGAAGTCTTGGTTGAAGGCCACAGAAAATCCATTTCAAAGAAACTTAAGGGAAAAAGTTGAATTTATTCAAGTAACTGAACGATGCAGGAGGAGATGTCTCAGGCACTGTTAGTACCATAGTCTCACTGAGTGACAATTTAATCTCACCAAAACAACTATTAAAATTACTTTTTTTTTTTTTTTTTTAATAAACTCCATGCCCAACTTCGGGCTTGAACTCATGACGTGCAGACTGAGTTGCATACTCTACCAACTGAGCCAGCCAGGCACCCCTGAAGTTACTTCTTATTTGAATGTTTTATAATGCTGCCAGTACTCTAACTTTATTTTTTTTTAAGATTTTATTTATTTATTCTGAGAGCAGAGGGCAGACATAGGTAGAGGGAGAAGCAGGCTCCATGCAGGGAGCCTGATGTGGGACTCGATCCCAGGACTCCAGGATCACGCACTGGGCCAAAGGTAGGTGCTCAACTGCTGAGCCATCCAGGCGCCCCTCTATTTAACTTTAAAATCTGTTTACTAGTTGTAAAAAAGCTGTAAGCCTAAGGTGTTCATACTATACATTTGTACTTAAAATAATAAAAACAATTTAATTACCAAGTAGGGTCAGAAATGATTTTTTTTCCCTTTAAAGGGATTTGTAGTTACTTATTGCTACTTAACAAGTTATTCCAAAACTTTTAAAAAATATTTTTTTATTCATGAGGGACAGAGAGAGAGAGACAGAGAGGCAGAGACCTAGGCAGAGGGAGAAGCAGTCTCCATGCATGGAGCCAGTTGTAGGACTTGATCCCAGGACTCTGGGATCACGACCTGAGCTGAAGGCAGATGTTCAACCACTGAGCCACCCAGGCGTCCCCAAAACATTTTTTTAAGATTGTACTTATTTTTTTGCAAGAGAGAGAGAGTGAGAGCACACAAGTGGGAGAGGGCTGGAACAGAGGGAGAGGGAGAAGCAGAGTCCCTGCTGAGCAAGTAGCCCAAAGTAGAGCTAGATCCCAGAAGATCATGATCTGAGCCAAAGGCAGATGCTCAACTGACTGAGCCACCCAGGTGCCCCTTACTCTAAAACTTTTAAAACAACAATATTTATTATCTTTCACGATTTCTGTGGGTCAGGAATTTGGGAGGTAAGTTCTGGTTCAGGGTCTCCCATAAAGTTGCAGGCAGATGTCAGCTGGGGCTTTGCTCATCTGAAGGCTTGACTGGTGCTGGGGAATCAGCTTCCTAGTGGCTCACTCCTGTGGCTGGCATGTTGGTTCTGCCTTTTGGCCTAAATTCCTCTTTAAATGGGTTTCTCTCACAAGATGCTTTGATGTCCCAATACCATAGTGGCTTCCGTCCCCAAGAGCTGTAGATCCAAGAAACCAGTGCAGATGGCTGTGATGCCTTTTATGATGACCTTGCATGACACACATTGTTCCTTCCAATCACCACTTTCATTCTACCGAAAGAAGTCGACCGCCAAGTGACGCATTACACAGAATGAATAGAACACTGGCCCCAATTCACTCTAGGAGGGAGGGATCACACAAAGGTGTGAGTACCAGGAACTGAGGTTCATTGTGGGTCATGATATAGGCTGGCTACCACAATATGTTTCTAAACAGTTTGGGGAGTCTAGGGGCCCCTACATATTTGCTATGGCCCCTGAATACCCCCAAGACAAGAAAGAACAATATTTTCTTGTGGGAAACAGAATTAGTGGGCTGTGATCATTGTGGTTCTTGGGCAAATGTCACCAAGATCTGTGTGCTCCCTTTCCAGAATGTCATTTAGATATAGCAAAAAGGAAGAAGGATGTGTAATGTGTACAAATTTCTTGTTTGAAATTCTTTGTTTAGGAACTATGCCAATCTTCTCTCTACATTTTAATGAAGGAAATTGTGAAAGTAATAATTTGTTACTAAAGGTATCATATTTTTCATCTTTAAGAAGGATAGTAAAAGGGGCACACTCATTCACATAAGATGTACTGCTGGTGGTAATCCCCAACTTCTGGGATGGTAAGTGGCCAGGCCAGGTGTGGAGCACGTGGGTGAGGCCACTCCAGTGCTGGGCATAGCCCCGTGGATTGCCTTCTTGTGCCTGACGGGGCAGATGGTCTGCCCCTGGCACCCATGGGTGGGCTGCACAGGGCCCCTGGGCAGCAAATTTACAAAAAGAAAGGTAGAAAAAGGCCTCTGTTGATGTCCTAAAACATTGATTTTGTGGTTTACAAATTATACTGAGTTAACTCAAAAAGAGAAACAATCTCTAGGCAGATCTATTTATTCAACAAATCTTTAATTGAGCATCTATTATGTGCCAGGCACTTTGGTCATAGGTACTTGGGATAAATTGATGAACAGAACAGAGATCCCTGTCCTGGAGTGGTGGGGTGGGGCAGACTGTAGACTATAGCAAGTAGAGAAATTCATTTTAAAAGCATGTAGATGATGGTAAATGTGACAAAAAATACTAAAAGCAGAGCAGGATGGGGGACTTGGGAAAACAGGAGTGAAATGGGGCTACTGCAGTATTAAATAGTATTTATATAACTGTTCAAAGTTATAATGAGCACTGAAAGGGGGAATAAACCACCATCCTAATGTTTGACATTAGCTAATTAAGATGTCGTATCATTTGCAAATAGCTTCTCACATTCTGTAGGCTTTGTTTTGTTGACTGTTTCTTTTGCTGTGCAGAAGCTTTTTATCTTGATTAAGTCTCAATAGTTCATTTTTGCTTTTGTTTCTTTTGCCTTCATAGATGTATCTTGCAAGAAGTTGCTGTGGCCATGATCAAAAAGCATGTGGCCTATATTCTCCTCTAGGATTTTGATGGATTCTTGTCTCACATTTAGATCTTTCATCCATTTTTAGTTTATCTTTGTGTATGGTGCAAGAGAGTGGTCTAGTTTCATTCTTCTGCACGTGGCTGTCCAATTTACCCAGCACCATTTATTGAAGACACTGTCCTTTTTCCAGTGGATAGTCTTTCCTCCTTTATCGAATATTAGTTGACCATAGAGTTGAGGGCCCATTTCTGGGTTCTCTATTCTGTTCCATTGATCTGTGTCTGTTTTTGTGCCAGTACCACACTGTCTTGATGATCACAGCTTTGTAGTACAACTTAAAATCCGACATTATGATGTGCCCGGCTCTCACTTTATTTTTCAATATTCCCCTGGCTATTCGGGGTCTTTTCTGATTCCACACAAATCTTAAAATACTTTGTTCTAACTCTGTGAGGAAAGTCCATGGTATTTTGATAGGGATTGCATTGAATGTGTAAAGTGCCCTGGGTAGCATTGACATTTTCACAATATTAATTCTTCCAATCCATGAGCATGGAATATTTTTCCATCTCTGTGTTTTCCTCAATGTCTTTCAGAAGTGTTCTGTAGTTTTTAGGGTATAGATCCTTTACCTCTTTGGTTAGGTTTATTCCTAGGTATCTTATGCTTTTGGGTGCAATTGTAAATGGGATTAACTCCTTAATTTCTCTTTCTTCAGTCTTACTGTTAGTGTATAGAAATTCCACTGATTTCTGGACACTGATTTTGTATCCTGCCACACTGCCGAATTGCTGTACGAGTTCTAGCAATCTTGGGGTGGAGTCTTTTGGGTTTTCTATGTAGGTATCATGTCATCTGCAAAGAGGGAGAGTTTGACTTCTTCTTTGCCAGTTTGAATGCATTTTATTTCTTTTTGTTGCCTGATTGCTGATGCTAGGACTTCTAGTACTATGTTGAATAGCAGTGGTGAGAGTGGACATCCCTGTCTGTTCCTGATCTTAGGGGAAAGGCTCCCAGTGCTTCCCCATTGAGAATGATATTTGCTGTGGGCTTTTCGTAGATGGCTTTTAAGATGCTGAGGAATGTTCCCTCTATCCCTACACTCTGAAGAGTTTTGATCAGGAATGGATGCTGTATTTTGTCAAATGCTTTCTTGGCATCTATTGAGAGGATCATATGGTTTTTGTTTTTTCTCTTGTTTATATGATCTACCACGTT